TTTTGGCATTTCTGTCATTGTACTTCGCCCTTCTGTATGCATATTTGTCTACAACAAAACCTTCCTGCAGCTCGTGCTTCTGAACTATGGACATGTGCTATTCATCATGTATAGGCCAGATGATTTTGTCCATGACTAGTAAATTAGTACTTGGTATTAGAAGAATTCTTACATTGTTAGTCCAAACCCCTTGTGGGAGAGAATTGTCACTGATTTTAATTTCCCTTCCATAAAAGGATTTGTAGAGTTTAACATTTTTCACCATGATTTTGATTGATAACCCTATATGAGGACACAGTGGGAATGTGGAAATGAAAGATACCTTTTGACTGCCATGGCCTCAGAAGGCCTTTAATGGAGGAAGGAAGAGTGTCAAAAGTTGGGTTGAACAAATCCCTGAGCAGTGGACAGAAATGGCTCTTGTAGCCAGAAGGAAATAGCTTCTTCTTATTTTCCTCCAAAAGTGAAATTTCCTTTTTGCTAAGTAGTTAACAAAATGAGAACTATTTTAAACAACTGTGTGTATGGTATTTTCTAGCCACTTGAAATACCAGCTTAAGGAAGTCAGATTTTTTTTAGAAACTTTTCCCAAAACAACTTGTGTATCTTCCTGCATATATTCTAAGTGTGGGTTGAAAGTGATTTCAGCCTAATAGGGAGTTTCCACTTAATTTTGTGCATCAGAACTTAAATATTTGAGTTCAAACTTCATGCCCAGAACTCTTAAATTCACATTACTTGTGACTGTAAATTTGCGTTTAATGATTCAAACTCAAATCTGAAGTCTTTTTGCTTAAGACTGACCTATGTATAGAGAAAAGAACAGTAGAATTAGAGGTACAAATTGTAGAATGGCTTTGAAAAAGACCAAATGGTGGAGCTATGTGTCTTAGGGAATAAATTACAGCCTAACAGTGCCAGATTTGCCAGTGATGCCAGCTAAGCAAAAAATGATCACAATTGCTTTCTGGTTGCTTCATCAATAATCCACTCTCTTCTCCCTAGCTTTTGTGGGCGAAGCATCTGAGTCCTTGAGAAGGTCGGTGACTTGCTGCCACTCACAATACTGGGGCCAGGTCTTTGATTCCTAGGCTTTTTCTGCTACGGTGTGTGGTAGGGGGAATGTGAGAGAAACCACCTGGAATTTCAAGTATTCATCAAGGGCTGGGTTTTCCCAGCCTCGTGGGATCTCTAAAAGAATGTTCAGATATGGCACTTGCTTTCAGGAAGCTTCTATAATCCTGGTTTCCATGAGTTTCCAGCCAACAGCCAGTGCCCCCTCCAGCAGACCTCTTTGTTTCCTTCTGTGGCCTCTACTCTGCTTTGTTTCCTTTTATTTGCTCTATGCGGTACTATTTATCTTGTAGGGAACTTCATACCCCTCCCCCCACTGCCACCACCCATTTCCTTTCTTTTGATAAACACTAAAGGTTGCTAATGCAAACAGCAACTCTAAAGTCAGTCATACAGAAGACATGGCTATTCTGTAGGAGATTCGAACATCACTAGGCCGAAACATTTTTTTTTCAAGCCACTAAAGTCGAGGATGTTTCATGTCTCTTCCTCCTCTGAAATAAAAAATGTTTTTTTCTTAATGATGTTTACCTCGTTTTCAGTGTTTCACTTGTAAATATTGCTACTCTGGCTTGCTTGCTTTAGTTTGATGAAATAAGAGGCACTGTCAGAAACAGCTTTGCTTTGAGGTCATATGGATGATGGGAGAAGCGCCTTGGAATGGAGTGTGCGGGAAGCATGTGAGTTTAGGTATGCGGTCTACCTGGGTAATAAGATTTTAATATGATCTTGAGCTTTGAAGGATAATTCAGGTGTGGACATGCCAAGGATGTTACAAAATGCAGTGTTTTCCTCCCTTCTATCTCATTGCCGGGTGTCATACGGATTTAACTGAATTTTCTTACATTCCTTGCAAATGAGAATGTATAAAAATGTTCTTTGTAACTTATAAGCTGCTGTAAATGTTGGTTAATTGCCCGATTTGGAGGACATGGCTCATCTGTGTTCATTGCAGCCTAGTTAAATCTGTCAACAAATACTGAGAACAGAGTGGGTGCGAAGGCTGTGTTCTAGCTTCTGTTTGTATCTGTTAAGGAATAAACACAGTCCTTGCCCTCAGCTCACAGATTCGACTTTAAATTGTTTAAACAGGCAGTATGACACTCCACAGAGGAACATCTTAATGCTCATGTTATTCTATGATTTCTGACAAGATGATCACAGTTCTGAGACTGACATTGGGATTGCACATTGAAATAGATTTTGTCTTGTTTTAAAATCATCTCGCTGTTTTATTTAGGGTGATTTTTCTTAGACTTTATATACCATTGTAATCACTGTACAGAATTCTAGCACATAACATGAGGACATTGTGCCTCTCCCCAAAGATTTTATGTATTAAAGGAGAAATCCAAGAAGTGAAAATAAGTTTTATAATTAATTTAAATTCTGAGTGTTTTAAAAGGAAGAATCTATGGCATTGTGAAACTTAGATGTTGAATGATAGAAAAATAAGGATGTTTAGGTGACATCCGGCCATTGGTCTTCTAAGTCTAACGTCATATACTCACATTTTTTTTTTTAAATGAACATTATAGGAAGTTCTCTCCCATTAGATAATTTCAGTTGTAACCTAGACGCTGGTCTTTTCTCTTTCCTCAAAAGTATATAATTTTTAAAGGAATGACAGCTAAAATGACTTCACACAAGTATATAGTAAGTTGAAGTTTCTCCAGGTCACAATTTGAATAATAAATGTAAGCTCTTTCTTTGACTTGCTAGTTAGGGAGGAAAGCAGGAACTGGGAAAAATAAAATTCCAGGAGATATCTGATAGCCTCTCCCACTTCACTGGAGACCGCTGATGTGGAAATGTGATTGTCCTGAAACCAGCTGAGCTCCCCAAAATGGCACACAGAGTGTCTGGGTGGAGACCCCCAGGTCAGTGTTTTGCAGGCCTTGCGCTGGGGGATGTGTGTTCCAAGTGGCCCTGTGTGGGTTTGCTGTGGACTGGTGATGACCGGCGCGGCAGATCGGGGACAGCTTCTCCGCCACGGTGGGGCCCGAGCTGAGCAGGGGTTCAGGGAAACGGGGCCCCTGCAGGGTTCACTGAGGGACCATGGCCACACTCTGCTGGCGTGTCCCTGTTAATATTTTTCTTTGTCTTACTTCTAAGGCATGTAGTCTCTGCTGAATGACAAACCCTGAAGGCCAATTGACTTATTTGGAAAAGGAAATGTTTATGCTCACCAGGCACCTAGTTATTTATCATTTACTTTTGTCTACCACTTTTTACAGCACAGCACTTTGCATTGTTTCTTTTAAGCCTGACCAGAAATGTGTGTTTCCACAGTTCTCCTGCGGAGGCACACTGTGGCCTCCTTCCAGATTCCATGCTTGCCCTTCAGGAGAAACCCGAGTATTTTCAACAGGGTTCATTCAAGGAGCACTTTAAAAAAGAATTAGGCCCTCAGCCGTGTCCTTTTTACATGTGAAGACTTGTCTGTAAGATGTTTGAACCCTCATAAACGTCACTGTAGCTTGCTCCACATTCTGCCTAAGCTGTATCTCTCTAGTATCTCTTGGATTTGTTCTGCTGTGGAGGTTTTAGTGGGTTGGTTGGTTTGATTGCTGCTGCCCAAGGCTTCCCTTGCCCCAAGGGGAGAGGCCAGGCGCAGTGGGGGGAGGAGGACCCTTGCTGAGGTCTGCAGACTCGGTTTCTGGCCCTGCTGTTAATTAGCTGTGTGACCCCTGGACGAGTCAGCCTCCCAGGACCTCTGTTTCTTCATCAAGAACACAGAGGCCTTGGAAAAATAAATAGAGGCCTGGATCAGATGATAAGAAGGGACATCCAGTGTGCTTATGCTTCTGGGAATGGCAGCATTTGGGACTCTTCATTCCTCTCAGTGGTCCCTGCCGAGCCTCTGCTTCCTGGGTGGGGCAGTTGTGGGGTGTCATACAGAAGGGAAGCTTTCCAGCTAATGAGGCAGGTGGGGGGGCCTCTTCTGCAGAGGAGTTTCTCCCGCCCTCTCCGCCTCTCCCTCCCTTCTACCTTCCTGTCCTTAGTGCGTCAAGGAGGGTGTGATGGGTAAACGCGGCCCACTCAGATTCCTTCCCGTTTGGAGTCGCCCAGCCATCCCGTCTGAGTTACTAGAGGGAAGGCAGAGCGAAAGGAGACTGACTAACGGATGAAATAATGGTCCTTTTGTCTTCTCTGGCTGTAAGGATGGTTTCATGTTTCATCCTAGGCCCAGCCATTGTGTCGTTTTTATATGCTAAGTACAACCCTGCTTAAAAATACAGCTTATTTAAAGGATTCAGCTTGTAATGCCACAGGCCTATTCTACTCTTCTTCCCTCCCTGCAAACAAATTCATAACTATATGTAATAAAAATCCATTGTAGTGTGTGCTGGTTTGATTGGGTCACTGGACACCAGGGTGTAAATGTGTTCTCACTGTATTTATTTTGCAGATGCTTGTAAGGTATGTTTCAGTCTGATCGTCTTCCAAAATGTTTTCCTTGTGTTATGTAATCAGTAGAACCTGTAAAACATGCCTTTAACCTTGAAACTTCCTTCTTAACTATTATCTTTTGATTTTCTGTTTTCATGTTTTCTTTTGATGGACTGGGACTGGGAGACCTGCATTCCTATGCCAGACATCATACAGCAGCGTGCCCAGATTTAGCCGCATAACCTTAATTAGATGTGGAATGCTGAGAATGCACTGTTACAGCTTTTTTTTTTTTCACTTTTAAAACAAGACAATGAACTGATGACTTCTTTAAAAGTTATAAAACGCTCCTTGTGTCTTTAGCATTTAGTTCCTCTTCTTAGTTTATTCAAAGAAAATTAATGTAAAACTCAGTACCCTTGTATTATCCTAAGCAATCTGGTTTGAACGCAGTTACCTTTTGTGTCAATGTGCATATTATGTTCTAATTTATAACCCTTAATTCCTCCTCCCTCCTCTCCCTTTCTCTTTAGAAGCAAAAAAAGAACTGAAGATGTTAAAGGCCGTGCTGAAGAAGAGCCGAGAGGGCGGAAAGGGAAGCAAGAAGGAAACAGGTATGTGTGCAAGAATGAGTTGGGTTAACAGGCATGGTGGGCGCCGAGCAGCAAGACCTCACTCACTCCAGGCCGGCTGGGTGTCATTGGGTTGGAAATAGAAGCAATATGGGTTAGAGCACATATTATAGTAGAGGCTATGAGAAACCAAATATACTTCTGAGCTTTCTTATGGGACGTGACTTTGAAAATTGAGTTTGGGTTATGAACTAAATCCTTCCCCGGAAGACTGGTAAAGATCATAATTTTGACAGGTCATTCAGATCCAGAGTCAGGCAGAGTCACAGACATTGAGGGATAGCAGGTGTGTCCAGGAATTTGGTTGCAAGAAAGCCCTTTCCCTTTTGCTATGTGCAGTTGCATTTTATATGTTTGACCAACTGCTGGCCCCCTGGTCCTCATCTTTGGAGTATCATATTTTCCTCCTAACAGGTGTAGCCTCACTCAGTGCCAGACTGCTAGTTGTCATTATGATGAGAGCTACTTTTCTTGGCTTGGATTTCATTCCTGTTTGTAGAGTCCTGGTGTACTTGTGGTCACTGTGACTGCATTGCATTCCATGGGATAAACTCCTCGAAAGTTACTTGGGTGACTACTCAGTGGTCAGTTTCTCCTGCTAGAAAAACTATATATTGTCTACCTGTATCGCATAATAATTCAAAAGCATGGATTTCCCTGAAAAGTGTCATTTCACTTTGTAGACTCCTGTTAATCCAGAGTTGGGGAAGGGCTAGTATTCTGAGTCATGTGTATTGAATAACATTTCAGTTTTAATTTCTATTAAAATATAAATAAGGACACTCATTACTGAAACATCAGTGAGTTATAGTTAACTCTAATTTAGAAGATCTTGTAATACTTTATAATGGTATTATCATCTGTTTCTGTACTTGTGTAAGAGAATATGTGGACTTACAAACTTCTTGGTTATCTGGAAGCTAGACAAACTTTCTATTTATTAATTATTTCTGAAATCAAGTCTGCAAAATGGCAAGCTTACCTTAAATGTAGAGTCTTTGTTGTAAAGTTGCTTTTAAGATTTCATTAGAAGCTTCTCATTAATGCCTGGATGAGCAGATATAAAGAAAAGAAGCAGCCAGTTTTAATGATAGAAACAGGAGACCACAGTTAGGTCTTGATCTTAAGAAATCAACTCCTAACTTTGAATAATTAGCATTGTTTATGTGGGGAATTTTCAGTTCACATAATTTCTATGCAGGGGGACATTCACCCTCTGCTGGGTCAAGGCCAAAACATTCTTCTCTTATTTCTCTGAAAGCTGTTTCTTTACAAAAAGTCTTGTTTTTTTCAATTTTGGCTCATCTGACATTCATCCTAGGAACATTGTTGCTTGCTAAGATGCCTTTGTAGTTTTCACTATAAAGTTAGATCCGAAGTTGTCTGTCCGTTGGAGCTGCCAACCCCTGGCCAGGGTCTCCAAGCCAGCACTCCCCGCTTAGTTGCAGTTCTTCCCAGCAGACCTACCAGCCTCTGACCTGTGCCAGACTCCTTGAAAGGAATAGCATGTTAATAATTTTCGGCCTCCTGCTTTCAGTCGGGCCAGACAGCGTAGTTTTGCATTTGAAACTTTTCCAGTTTAAGAGTGTGTGATTTGGGGGTTATTTCCCCCTTTGGTCTTTAAGAGCAACTACTGTTTTTTTCGGAATCACTTCTTCACAATAATTCCCACCCAACGGCTTTTCACTAATGCACACCAACTTAAAAAAGCAGTAGGGACATTTCTCGTAAAACATCTGTTATGGTATGTGCCTTTTCACTCCCAACTACAACCTGGTTGTGTTAGTTGGGGAACAAAGCAGATGGTATTTTAAATCTTGATGACATTATGTCACACTGTGACTGGGGAAAATACTTAGAATTTGATCATTCATATGTTGAGCACTGTGCCAACTCTCATTATATACATAAATCATAGCTAAGTCTCTCTGTAAATTAAAGCTGGCTAATCTACTGAGACTGCTTTGAAATGGGGTAATAATATCGCCTTCAATATGGAAAAATTTTGCTCTACTGTTTGCAATTAAAACCAATGTTTGTTGCAAAGATAAAAGGAAATTCATTTCTATATACTTGAGCTCACAATCATAGAAATGTAGGAAATATTTCTGTCTAAAATATTAAGCTCAACTTTTCATATCCTTTATGGACTATTTTTTAGTCTTGAACTACGCTTCTATATTGAACCCATTTTGAGAGTTTAGAAAATATAATCAGAGGTAAATTTAGTGTTCTTCAAAATAAAAAATATCCTTCAGAAGTACTGTAAAGTTGTTAAACCCTCAGCTTTTAACACTAAAAAAAAGTCACATATCTGTGTTAAACTATTGATAAAATTTCAGCAGGTATTGAAATATAAGTATGTATATATAAGGAATTTGAAATATGTGTCCTGAGTATCAAACTATAGAAAGCCATTGAGTGAACTCTAAGGAGAGCAAAATTCTTTTTTTCTGATTATGATTTTTTTTACTTAGAAAATGCTTATAGCTGAGCAAAAAGTGTTTTCTAGAGGCTGTAGAATCATGTTCGGAAATGCAACATTAAAAAGTTGGAAGTGTTTTTTGAGAAAGCACATTTATGTTGTCACCATTATTCTGTTAGTGCAAATGAGAACTGAATTTCTCTCAACCTTGAGTTAGGCCTATGGGAGCAAAAATCAATATTGAACCATAATGTGGGGAGGAACACACAAGGGCATCTATTTTTTTTTCTCTCTGCTCTTGTTAGGACCTTGATCTAAAATAAGCAAATGTGGTGTTACCTTTCTTTATTTTGAAACTCTCTAGAGAGAAGAGACCTGTGTCTCTTTAAGTGATCTTTACTATCAAAAATCTTTTATATTGTTATTAGTAAACCTACTTAATTTAAAAATGAAATACTGTCCTCTGAGACTGAGTATTCTGAATCAAAATCTGGACCTAATAAGACTTTAGAGTGGATATAGGAAAGAGCAATATAGGAAATATCTTTTCTGTACAACCACAGTGTTTAGAAAAAAAATAAGTCCTGTTCTATAATAGAAACAAAAACTTTAAATGTCAAACTAGGAAGAAATGTACTGCCTTACATGAAGAGAATAATAAAGCTTTACTGAAGAACTTAAAGGAAGACCTGAAAAATGGAAAGAAATACCATATTCCTGAATAGGTAGATTCATTATTTTAAACTGACTAGCTCTTACAAAATTATATACATTCCATTCAATCCCTGATGAAATTCAGCTATTTTCTTTTTAAAGACTTTTTTTAAGAGGATTTTTAGGTTCACAGCAAAGTCGAGGGGAAAGTATAGAGCTTTTCTATCTACCCTCTGCCTCCACTCATGCATAGCCTCCCCTATTATCAATGACCCCCACCAGACTGGGACACTTGTTGAACCCACACTGACACATCATAACCTCCCAAAGTCTATAGTTCACATTGTTTCACTCTTGGAATTGTACATTCTCTGGGTTTGGACAAATGTATAATATGTATCTACTATTACAGCATCATACACAATATTTTAACTGCCAAAAAAAAAATCTCATCAGTTTTTTTAAACACAAAATAACCAATGATTTAAAAAAAAATTCATTGGAAGAGAAAATGCTCAAGAATATCCAAGGAAAAATTGGAAGTCTGGGGCAGGTGCATCTGACTGACTGAGTCTGGTTCCTGCCTGGGTTCTAGCTATAGGAGAGGTTAGGCAAGTGTGTTTTGACTTGTTAGCTTCTATAGGGCAGGGTGGACTTCACCCCCGACCAAAGCTCGCCTTGTAGAGGACTCTTCTGTCAGAGACATCGAGCAGGTCCCGTCCACTCCAGAAGCTTAGCCGGGCACAGATACCTAGTACAGCTCATTGGAATAGCCACTGCTTCCACATAGTAAATGGCTGGGTTTTTGACCCTTTTCTTTTTACTTATCTCCGAGACATGAAATAATTTTATCTGACATCTGTGACACAATCAAAGCTCACAGTTGATAGTGGTTTTGATTTCCTTTTAACCCTGGAGATAGTGACATCATTCTGTAAGCATGAGACGGGCAAGGCCTGTCGCGCTCCTAGAGGGGGCTGATCCCTCTCCCTTCCTGGGCATCCCTTCTTCTGTCCTCAGCCAATCTTGGAACCATAGTCTTTTGCCCTGGCCCACTCTGTTTTGGTGTGGAAGTAGCTCTAAATTTAGGCAGGAGAGCAAAGTTTGGTGAACTTGTTTGTAATTGTAGTACTGCCCAATTAAAATATAGACTGATTAAGGAAGGGTTGCTTCATATGCCAAAATAATTGTTTATTAGTCTCTTCCTTTCATTTTAATTATTTGTGTTCTTTTTTCAGCAGGGGGTCTTAGTTTGAAGCACTTTATTTAAAAAAAGAAAACATTTAACCTTCACCTTCTCTTCTTTAAAACCCAGCGGGTTGGCTAACTACACTTGCAGTGGTGTTAATTAAGCTATTGCATAGTTTCTAAGCTTGAGTGTGTACTGAATTAATCTGTTAGCTTTGCATCTGATCCTCCGCTTTGAATTTGTAGTAAAAGGAAGCTGTTTGCTTCCAAAGTTTAAAAGCCATTGATGTGATTGTTAAATGTGGCATTTTAAGCCATTCCAGGCTGCAGTCTCGTTTTCAGTGGTACCTTCTAAAAATGCCCCAATACAAACGACGCTTTGTTTTGTCTGGAAAATATGAAGCTGCTTTTGATTATTCTGTGCTGCATTGCCCATTTTCTGTGGTTGTGGACTATTATTTAGGAATTTTGTGCACTGACTGTCTTGCTGAGCTTATGGGTATTTGGTATCTTGTTGTTAACTGACTCCAAAAATGTTTCCCAAATAAGAAAACAAGCAGAAATAATTGAGTCTAAAGGTTTTGTATTTCTCTTTACCAAGGCATTTAAACAAATTCTGCAAAATATTATTAGGATGTGATTTAAACATAGAAGGGGACCAGGCTGGTTTTTAGTAGAGCACGAATGCTGTTCCCACTGGATCGTTCCTTTACCA